GAGATGAGGTCTCGCTGCCCAGGCGGGTCTTGAACCCACGGGCTCAGTCAATCCACTCACCTCAGCCTCCCAAAGGCACGGGATTGCAGAAGAAATAGTTTTAATGTTATATTTTATTGACAGTTTAATACAAAAGAGACTTTGCAAGACTATTCAAAAAGGAAACAGATGGCAACAAAAGCCAGGAGAATTAAAGAATTTTTTGAAAATTGAGAATTGTCAATACTAGGAAAGCAACAGGCGTGTTCAGCTCTGGTGGTTGTGGTGGTGCTAGCCTAGACGCATCCTGACTGGTGTCTCAGCTGGTCTTACATCACATTGTAACCCTGCCCCCTGCCACTACTGTTTTTTATGGTGGAAAATGCTACCACATAGTCAGATGTTATGCTGATGGTTGTTGAGAAGTGTTTGTGTTTTATGTTTTAGGGGATGAGTGTGGCTATCCTGGGACCCACGTTTCCAGATCTGGCGGCAAACGTGAACCGGAACATCAGTAGTCTGTCTTTAATCTTTGTGGGCCGTGCCTTTGGATATTTGAGCGGCTCTGTGATTGGTGGAGTTCTTTTTGACATCATGAATCACTTTTTACTTTTGGGTAAGTAAACGCTAATTGTAGCTTCTTTATATTGTCGGTGAATGTACCATTTGTCTTTAAGTGTGACAAGTTCTAGCCTGCAGAATGGTTGACACCTGTTGGGCAGTGGCACAGTGTCATAGAGTCCTCGATGGATGCTGGGTTTCCCTGGTACCTGCTCTTACCTTGGCAGTGAGAAGGAATCTGTGCTGAGCCCCTCTGGAAACTTTTTTTGAGTCGGGGGTCGCACTCTATTGTCCAGGCTGGAGTGCAGTGGCAAGATACAACTCACTGCATCCTCCAACTCCTGGGCTCAAGTGGTCCTCCTGCGTCAGCCTCGCAAGTAACTGGGGCTACAGGTGCACACCCCCATGCCTGTATTTTTTATAGAGACAGGGTCCTGCTCTGTTGCCCAGTCTGGTCTTGAACTCAGCTGCCCAAAGTGCTGGGATTGCAGGTGTGAGCCACTATGCCTGGCCTGTGTGTGAGAGCAGACCCTAGCCCTCCTGCCCTTCTCTGTGGCTCACACTGGCTATCCAAAAGGCTGTTTCTCAGGGTTTGGGGCAGATTTCCCTGGGGCTACCTGGATCAGAATGAGCCTCTGGAATGTGCTCAGGCTGGACCTTGGACTGGGAGTGAGAAGGGGGAAGGGACAGCAGGGGACAGATGGAGGCTTTTCCTTCTATCCCCATTTTGTTGGCCCTACACTGTGCTAGCTACCCTGGGAGCAGGTGACAAAGCTTTGACATGTGCTTTTTTGGATAAACAGAAATGTTTAAAGACAATTTAGATTAACTGATAAAACTTATTTGGAAGCAAGAATAATTTGTTGTTTTTGATGAATTAATAAATAATCCCTCTTACATCTGAAGAGGATTGAAAGAATATATATATTGTCTTTTCGTCACTATTCCCAAACTCATATACTTAGTAAATGTTTACTGTGAACTACTATAATAATTGTGTTTTCTTTTGGCCTTTTAGATTTATTTTAATTTTGCTTTTAGATGTTAATTATGATTACTTAATATCATATGATTTTACAACATAATTTAGTTCCAGGTGTTTAACAAGCACCCATTATAACTGCTGAATGTGAAAACATGTTATTTGTATCTGATCAGGTATACAAAACCCATTGATTTTTCTTTTGACAAAAAGTAGTCAAAATCCCAAAGAATGAGGGCGAGACTAGTAATTAACGGTCATGTTTGCTGACCTGGCACCCTCATGCCAGTGTCAGAGCTTCCAGAGCAGGAAGGAGGACCTGGGGGAGGTGAGGCTGTTGGAATGGAGGACAGATCCTGACGTAAGCCCCATGTTGGCCAGGGGGTAACTCAGGGTCTAGCAAGGAAAACCCCAGAGGCTGGCGGTGAGGGCAAGTGCTTTGGCTCAGCTGGCAGCAAGGCCCTGGAACAGGAGGGTCAGCACACAGGAGCCTGGGAGGCTTATCTTGGCTGCAGGGCGGGTTCTTCAGGGTTTTTAGCCGGCTGGATTTGGTAGGTCACAGTTGAGCCTGGTGCATTCCAGCCACTTTCCCCAAAGAGTCCAAGCAAGGGCGGGAAAGGGTGGGGCAGGAGAGTGGTCAGGGGCCAGCCTAAGTGCCTTTTAACTTTTTACCTCATGGTGAAAATCCTATTAGGTTCTTAAATGTGAAACAGTGAATAGTTTTTGATGTGTCTCTTTTGCTATAAGACTTTGCCTTATGGTCTGGTTTATAGTTTGATTATTAGCAGGGCTGGAAATGAATTCATGTTATAATACTTTCTAGTTTATGGTCCATGAGATGATAAAGGATTTATATGAAATCTCCCTTGTGGAAGCGGCACTCATTACTTGACCTGACTGCATGAATACTGTTTTCTCTAGGTGCCTTTTTGCTTTCTCCTCAGGGGCGTCAATGCTGGCTACCACGATTGGTCTTTATCTTGTCCCCTTCTGCAAGACCGCGGTGTTCCTGATTGTCATGATGTCCGTCTTTGGTGCTTCCATCGGCATTCTGGACACAGGTTTGTGAGCTCTTCAGTGTCATCTCTGGGGCAGGGACTTCCTCCTAGAAAAAGTTAAGCAGATGATCTTAAACTGTCATTTGCAAGGTCCCTAAAATCACACGGATCTACTGAGTTGGTCATGGGGTCACTCAGTCAGAATGAATCACCCTTATAGAGACTACTCTTCTTGCCAATTAGGGGACCGAGTTTTGAGCAGCCAACCATGAAATGAACCTGAAGATCTGTGACCATATCACCCAGAAGGCACGCGATCTCCTCTGTGCTGTGTGCTGTTTTCTTTCTTTCTTTTCTGTTCTTTTCTCTCTCAAAAGTTCCTGCCCTCCCGTGGTGGATACCTCCCTGTGTCTCCCTGTCCACTGATAACTCAAGTGATATTTGTTAAAACCAGCTTTCTGTCCTGCCTTCCCTGCCTTATTGGTATTTGATATGTTGGGGAAAAGTTTTATACCGTACTGAGTTTGCTGGTGGAATTGTATGTTTATCTGAAAATATCTCTTGGGGGGGGGAAAAAAAGATAGCCTGAGCTATGCTGCTGCTGGCCTTGTACCATGTCGTTGTCTAGATGGTACACATGCAGACGCAGAGCACCAGGATTCTGGGGTATTTCGGTTCCTGAATGTGTGTTTTTCATCTGCCATATACACAAATAAGCAATTTTTGGCTGGGTGTGGTGTCTCATACTTGTAATCCCAGCACTTTGGGAGGCTGAGGTGAGAAAATCACTTGATCCCAAGAGTTCAAGACCAGCCTGGGCACCATGGTGAGACCTCGTCGCTACAAAAAATAAGCCAGGCACAGTGATACGTGCCCGTAGGGCCAGCTACTCAGTAGGCTGAGTCAGGAGGATCGCTTGAGCTTAGGAGTTCAAGGCTGCAGTGGGCTATGATCATGCCACTACACTCTGGGTTGGGCAATGGAGTGAGACCCCCATCTCAAAAAAAAAAAAAATTCAAGTGGCTACCAAGTGCAAGTTCAGAAAGCTTTGGTAATCTGGCTGCTGTGATAAAATTTTGTCTTTTAAATACGTTTATTTAAAATATTTACAAGTAAATAAATATGTAGGTGTTTTTCCCCAGTCTGGTGTTAGAACTGCATTACAAAAAGCCTCTTGCTGAAGGGCCTGGATCTAGCGGTAGCCATCTGCCAGGCTGTGGAGTTCCATTGTGAGGGTGTGCAGTTCTGACGCTTGTAGTCATCCAGTAGTCGCGGTTAGTGGTCCTTACTCAGAGCTCACTTAGCTGCAGTGTTTAATACCTTAGAATAGTGGGATGCTTGAACCAGGTACTAGACTCATCACTGAGAGCAGTGCCCTGGGGGTTTTACTAATTTGCTGTAACACCTCATTCATTGCCCGTCTTTCCTCGGTAGGTGGTAACGTCCTTATCCTGGCCCTCTGGGGAGACCAAGGGGCCCCACACATGCAGGCCTTGCACTTCTCGTTTGCTGTGGGTGCCTTCCTGGCTCCCCTGCTGGCTAAGCTGGCACTGGGCTCGACGGAGTCAGCTGGAAACCACACCGAGCCCGGCCTTCCCCATTCTGTGCTCAATCATTCGTGGGCCACGGACACAGACACAGAGTCCCTATTCGGAATGCCTGAAGATGAAAACTTACTGTGGACCTATGCTCTGATTGGCTCTTATATTTTAGTAGTTGCCATCATTTTTTTTGCTCTGTTTTTAAAGAGAAGCTCTAGGCGGGAAAAAGCCAAAGCATCTGCTCAGACCTTTCGGAGAGCGAAATACCACAATGCCCTCCTCTGTCTCCTCTTTGTGTTTTTCTTTTTTTATGTTGGCGCTGAGGTGACATATGGTTCTTACATCTTCTCATTTGCCACCACCCATGCTGGCATGACAGAGAGCCAGGCGGCTGGCTTGAACTCCATCTTCTGGGGGACTTTTGCTGCCTGCAGGGGCCTGGCCATCTTTTTTGCTACATGTCTGCAGCCTGGAACCATGATCGTGCTGAGCAACATTGGCAGCCTGACGTCCTCTCTGTTTCTGGTCCTTTTTGACAAGAGCCCACTCTGTCTCTGGGTAGCAACAGCAGTGTACGGGGCGTCAATGGCAACCACGTTCCCCAGTGGCGTCTCTTGGATTGAGCAGTACACGACCATCCATGGGAAAGCAGCAGCATTTTTTGTCATTGGTGCCGCCCTGGGTGAGATGGCTATTCCTGCAGTGATTGGAGTCCTCCAAGGAAAGTACCCGGATCTGCCTGTGGTTCTGTATACCTCTCTAGGGGCGTCCGTGGCCACGGGCATCTTATTTCCTGTGCTGTATAGATTAGCCACTTTGCCTCTTGATCGCCAGCGAAGAGAGCACAGAAAGAGTGAGGACCAGAAGGCCTTGCTCCCCAGCTCTGGACCGAATGGCTTTGAGGAGGAGAACGAAGAGGAGGACGCGGAGAGGTGGAACGCGGTGGACTTTGAAGTGCTTGAGATGAGCGACACGACGCGGCGTTCTGTGCTGGAGACATCTCGGAGTGTCTTGGTGGAGCCTGCGCCTGGGGCCTCTCACCGGTCTTTGGGAGGGTCGGCGGGCAAGTCCTCTCTGGCTGATGCTGGCAGCTGCCCCGGGACACACCTTGCCAGTGATCAGGATGGAAGGGACTGACCTCAGAGAGGTGGAGTCCGGCTGACATCCTTGGAACCGCCACCTCTGGAGGGCGAGTCAGAGCCGAGCATTCGCACATGTCCACTGTGCTTTGGGGGTCAGAACAACTTGGTCCAGTTACAACAAACTGCTGAAAAGCTTCAACATGCTCAGAGTCCTCCACAACCAAACGGTCTCCAGCAGCAGGGTCTTGTCATGAGGCTGGTGTTGGCTTGTGGCTGGTCAGGTCGCATTTTATGGTCTTCGGCGGCCGCCGAGAAGGCATTTGCTCCTGAGGAGTTGGGCATCATTTTAATAGAATGAAATCATGTGGGTGCTGAATCAATTTGCTGAACAAACGATCAGGTCTCCGTCTTCTGCCAGGAAAGCAGAGGA